TGTTCATAGTTGATATTATTAAGTGTTTTTTTTTTGTTTTTATTTATAAGGCTTCCATTATTTTTAGCCTTTTTTTTTACATGTAGACGATGCTATTATATTTGTGTTATCAACAATTACGTTACGAACAGAGTCCAGTAGGTCTCCATGAGTATTTAAATGAGACCTAATTGAGCTATGGTCAGAAAGATGTAGCGCGAGTCTTCTTGTTAAACATGTTGTGGTGTGGCCTATATAATTGTTTACGAATTTTGATTGATCCAAGAACACAATTCCTTAATGGACATTTAAATTCGTAAATAATATTTGCTCTATTTAATTTTGATCTAAGAGGTGAATTATTATTTTTAACTATAAGATTGACGGTTTTAAATTTATTTGTAATAGAAAATTAATCTAATTTTTTGCTCTTGTCTACTGGTGTTGAGCATTTTTTTATAATACTCTTAAGTCTAGTTTCATGTTGTTGGTAATTATCGTCAGATTTTCTTCTTTAGAAATTGTTTTGTTTACGTTTCGGATACGAAATTGATAAGTTATGAATTTTCGATATTCTAAACGAGAAGTGTGGACTTAAAGACACCATGAAACTTTGTTTAATCGACGTCACCATTCGTAGCCGAGTCGGTTAAAAACACGTCGGATCTAACGATGGTTTCTCCTGTAAAGCTGTGCGCAGGTTCGAATCCTGCTTGAGAATGTATTTTTTCTTTAATAATATTTCTCTAATATTCAGGCCAGCAGACGAAAATAAAATTAAATACTATTTAAAAAAACAAACAAACGGTGCGTCTACTCAAATACGGGTATCCCCTAGAAATAATGTTGTATATATGTAATTTTGTGTATATATATATATATATATATATATATTACGAATCAAATTTCTAGCGTACAGTGTTCGACTACTGTTGTCAGTTTCATGCTTTTACGCAATCGTCAGGCGGTCAGCAGCTATAGTGCGAAAATGAGAACCTTTAATTCCTCCAGGCAAGCCTGAGATGGAAAAGATATATGGCCGATGCGCATATCATGCACACACCAATCAAACTCGCCTGGAGCTGGGAACACCCAACCAGTGAAGATCAAATAAAATCGTAAACGAACAATTGTACCCTCCTTCCACACACACAAAATATAAGAATAGCTGGAGATAGATAGATAGATAGATAGATAGATAGATAGATAGATAGATAATGAAAAGAATTTGATAGATAGATAGATAGATAGATAGATAGATAGATAGATAGATAGATAATGAAAAGAATTTGATAGATAGATAGATAGATAGATAGATAGATAGATAGATAGATAGATAGATAGATAATGAAGAGAATTTGATAGATAGATAGATAGATAGATAGATAGATAGATAGATAGATAGATAGATAATGAAAAGAATTTGATAGATAGATAGATAGATAGATAGATAGATAGATAGATAGAAAGAAAGGAAGAAAGAAAGAAAGAAAGAAAGAAAGAAAGAAAGAAAGAAAGAGTTAGTTTTACTTAGTTTTCTAATTCATTCCTTTTCTTTTTCTATTTTCAGGAAAATATTCTTCAGAAATATTCAGAATCCCAAATAAGAGGTAAGGATATTGAGTAATATTGTTTTTTGGTGATCTTTCACATTCTCGCCTTAAATTCTTTTCGAATGCCTCGCTGACGTCTACATCGCATGCATGACCAACAAAACGCCATCTACAAAATTCAAACCGCAGTCTTTGCAATTTTGTTTATTTTTCAGCAATTCATACGATGCTATCTTATTACTGAAAGGTTAATCTGCATTAGCTCATACAATTATCATTAATTTATATTTAAATTGGTGAAATCTTTGGAAGCATTTTGATTCTTATCATTTTCAATGGTGCATATGGTGTTCCAGTCATAATGGAATAGAAACTATAATTATGATGTGTATTTTTGAAAATATAAAACATTGAAATACGTATTGAAAAAAATTAAAACGTTATTGAATAAAATAATTATTAAATAGCTTCAGCTAAAAATTAAAGTTATAAATCTTAGTTATTTAAATAAAAGAAAATTGTTTAATGTGCTTATAGATCAAAATTAAACCCGTAAAATATCAAATTCCTAGTTATTTGAATAAAATCAAAAAATAATTTAACGTGAAAGAGTAAGTTCGCCCGACATTTTTTTCTTAAATCGAATAAAAATAAAAACAACAAAACGTTTTAAGATGCGCATATATGAAAAGCAGTGAGGTCACTTTATCCTTTAACGACAGTTACCCGTCAAAAATAATTTAATTCTCTCGTTATTTGATATACCTTCTACTGTAAATCTCCTGTTCATTGCTTTAAATTGATCCTCTCATAACTTTGGGTCATCCTTATATTTTATCTTGAAATCTTTCAGACGCTATTAAAAAAGATATTTTAATTCAAATATTCAGTATTTACAAATTGTTACAGTGTAATTAATTTGTTATTAAGCTCATTATTTATTAAGTTTATTTTGGTCAAACACCGGACTACATTGTGCTGTGACCCTTGAAGATGTTCGTGTCAATCTAAGTGATCATCATCATAGTCTTGTGAAACATTTCCTGAATTTAGGCCCATAATTTACATTACGAAAGCTTTCTAAAAAAACTTTTCGTGGGGATAATTATTTAGCATAACTAAATCTAACACAAAGTGAATTCCATACAGTATCGAACTTACTACATTAGCGAAATGGTCTTTGAAAGTAGAAGTGATCAACTATTATTCGTCTTATGATCATCAATATTAAGAGTCTAGTCAATCATATACACGAGCAGAAAAGGTAAACATAGGCTTGCTTTGCCCGAGTCAAAAGGGTAGACATAGGCTTGCTTTGCACGAATCAAAAAGGGTAGACATTAGGCTTGCTTTGCGCGAGAGTCAAAAATGGTAGACATTAGGGTTGCTTTGCAGAAGAGTCAAAAAGGGAAGACATAGGCTTGCTTTGCACGAGAGTTAAAAAGAATAGACATTAGGCTTGCTTTGCACGATAGTTAAAAAGTTAGACATTAGGCTTGCTTTTCACGACAGTCAACAAGTTAGACATTAGCCTTCTTTGAACAAGAGTCAAAAGGGTAGACATTAGGCTTGCTTTGCACGAGAGTCAAAAAAGGTAGATATAGGCTTGCTTTTCAAGAGAGACGATACTGTAGTCATAGGTTGAATTTGCATGGGACTCAGACAGGTAGACAGTAAACAGGCAGCGCATTTTTGTATGGGTTACATCTCGGTGTATTTTTTACCATAACTGGAAGTGTAGAGACATTTTTTATGAATGATCCAAATTTATCCCAAACGCGTTCATCAAACCCACTATTAAAGGCTTGCAATACAACTGTGAGTGCATTTCTTGCCTACCCAGGGACCCACGTACCTCATTCTAATGTTTCGAATAACAAATCTAACTTTTTTAGAAAGCATTATTTATATAGTTTTGTGTACGTAACCCGTAAGCATATCGATACCTGATTATCTGATAAGAAAAAAATTTACGAGACAATTGGACGTTTACCTGAGAAAGGGAATTCCTGGTTCTGAAAACAGAGAGCCGGTATTCTTTTTCTTTGAACAGCGTTCATCCAGGTGTAATAAACAGTAAATTCCATTTGAAACTGTAGATTCTATTTTAAACACATTTCTGAGGTGTGATTACTAATGTCCGATTGGATTCCTCCTTAATCTGTTATATTAAAACGGCCGTTTCACTGTCTGAACTTCAGTCGGCACGACGCTCATTTTCAGCAGAGACAATGATTACCTAGACCCTAGGAAAGGCTTTTCAGTACAGAAAGAGAGAGATTTTTGATTCGCCCTTTCTGTTCAAAGATACAATATGACGTTATGGATTTATATCTCAAAGAGCCGAGGACTGTAAATATGTGTGGTCATTTAATGATAGCCGATGAGATTTTCTAAAACTTTTATCTCTCTTCTAAACCATCAATGGAGGCGGAGAAACAAGCTTGTCACATTCAATGCCTCAAAACCTAAGCTAATAAATAACGTTTCGTCATTACTTAACTGACCCTGATATTTGCCTATCGCAATATACGGGTGTTCGCTCCCGGAGAACCCTTACATTGAACGCCAGACATCAAATGGAACTTATATATACGATCCATAGCTAAAAGATGCTGGAAAAATAATCGGTTCTCTACCGCTCCAGAAAGTACTCCAGAAAGTACTTGATTCTTCCTGCTACCGTCTACCTTTACAAGACACAGATCAGGTTGAAAATAGAGTTCTATTCCCATATCTGGGCTGGGGCTGCTCACTCTTCACTTTCCAATTTCCAGTTAGAGTTCAAAAGCCTCTACGCAGCTTTACGAGTGATGAATTAACCCCCCACCCGGCCTGCAGCCCCAATCACAAAGACTAAACATAGCAAGTTTCTTGCTACTCTGTCGATATTTCTATGGAAAATTTTTTGACGACATACATCCCTTAGTTCCACCAGTTTACACCTTCACAGCTAATATCCACCAAGCCTCTGAACACTGGGGTTTACCATCTATATTCCCTTCGTATTCCATTTGTAAGAAGGAAGTTCCACTCGGGAAACTTCTTCCCACGAACCGCTACTTCATGAAACTAACTCCCAAGGGGATGCTTTCCGACTCTCCCATATAACCCCATAAATTGCATCTTACTTTTTACTCGTACCGCTCACACAACCTCTTTCAGTAACTCTCTACCCCGAGAGTATTTTGCTACAGGATGAAAATTATTTAAAATAAAAAAAAATCTCATGTGGAAATAAAGCTCTAAAACTTATTGTATCGTCAGTTCCTTAACGGGGAATCGAACTCCGCTCTCCTGCCTGACAGGCAAAGGGTGCTTACTATTGTACTTCTAAAATCCTATCTTATTATAATAATTGAAATTGCTTTTTAAACAACTATTTGAGGCGTGATGGTTAACAAGCTTACAATAAATTATGATTTGACGTTTTCTATCTGACTGGCACCAATCTAGAAGTCTTATCGCCACATCACGTTGAAACGCTGGTTTCCGTACGACCAACGAAGTTAAGCAACGTCGTGTCTGGTGAGTACACTAGATGGGTGACTGCTTAGGAGTACCAGGTGCTGTAAGCTTGGATTTGTGAGTGGTGTAAGATAATGGCTCGGAATTGTTAATCGGAGAGCCGAGTTCCAATTCCAGTTGGGTTTGTTTCCGCGCCAATACCCTAGGAAAGGTATGAATCCACCGATTTTCCTCCCCACATCTATGGGTTAATTAGTAAGACGTATCCGTAAACCATTATTATCTCCAAAAGTAAAATAACATTTGCGTTCAAAATATTTAGATTTCGGCATTAAATGACCCATAGAGGTGTTGATATGCCGCTAATCAAAAACAACCAATAACTAACCAATATAGAATAAAACAGTGATATAAACCAAATCACACAAAATAAAGCAGTCAAACAGTAATAATTACTAATCATTGATTTTATTTAAATGTAATTTATTTCATAAAGGCATGAACCTACATCTTTTTGCATTCAGTTCCACTTCCTGTTATCTTAGTATAGGCACGGCAGCATACCAAGAGTTTAGTAAAGAAAAAAAAACAGAGAGAGGAGGGAGGAAGAATTACTCTTAAACACAAGTCTCGTACTAAGCGAGAAAGTGAGACTTTCTCGCTTCGTACGAGACTTGTGCTTCTGATAAGCAGAAAATGAAGCTGGTCACTTCGCTTTTGGGTGATAGTTTCCGACTTAGTCTAGCAGGCTATCACTACTATAAAGTGAATTCGATTCTTACTAGGTACTCCAAATCATAGCTTTATGCTAAAGCTAAATCAAAAATGGCCACATCTTGGAAGCTGGTCTTTCATCGATCCTGGGCCTAACATCAAAATGGCGGTAAATTCGCTTGTAACTTTGAATACTTCAGAAACGAAGCCAGTAATTCTTCATCATCTCCGAGCTGATCCTGAATTCTCACCAATCTCAATAAACTGTTACGCTCCCACAGAGGATCTTTATTTTGGACGTCTATTGCAGGGATTCTTAATTTGGTGCTCATGGATCCCACCTGGATGGGTTTCAGGGAATTCGTGAGCATCAGATAAAATTAACATTTATATTCGCTATACAGACCTTGTCCCAATCAACGGTTTCCTATTGAAAAAAAAAAGAAAAGAAAATGTATCCTGCCACTGTTTGAAAGAAAACGCACCGAGCCACTATTTACGTTGCCGACCGCTAGGCGTCTCTTGACTTGCTGTTTACCATTTAAATGTGTTCTATCATTCTCTGCACGACAGCCATCCTTTGCCGCTCTATGAGAGCAAGTGATAATTCTCCTTTTCCGCGGTTTATCACGGCTTGGCCATCTTCACATATACTGATGGGGATTAATTGAACACAATTTCTTTCAAGTGTGCCTGGCTGAAAAGTGATGTCTGTGCAGTGTGCATGAGAATGCAATATGCAGAAATACATGTACAAGTTTTGTGAAAAAAATCAATCAGATTGAATATGTTATTATAGAAGTCTATGACTAAAGGGCTCCGTAACTAAAAATGGTTAAGAACCACTGGTCTGTTGGGACCACCTCAGACCGTGAGTGTAAATCATATATACGAGACATCGCTAAGGACCCTGGAAAAACGGTTGGTTCCTTATATAGTCCCAGAAAGTACCGGACTCCTCCTACCATGATCTATCTTTACAAGAGTCAAATCAGATGAAAAATAGAGTATTGCTTTCATATGCTAACCAAACATTAATTTCAAGCTTCGACAGAGTTCAAAAGCTTTTACGCGGCCTTGTAGATGATGAATTACTTTTCACAGTGCATCTTTCCCTGGAGACGAAATGTCGCAAGCTGAATACTACACTATTGTTATTTACATGAAAAATTTTCTGACTATTTACACTCCCTGGTTCCACCAATTCAAACATTTACAGCTAAAACCCGCCAAGCCATTTTCACAAGTGCGAAACATATTCATCCATTCCACTGGTAAGATTAAATTTCTATTCGGGGAGCTTCTTCCCAGGAACCGTCGCTTTGTAGAACGAACTCCCAAGAGGATGCTTTCCGGACAATTGCAATCTTAATATTTTCAAGTTCGAGATTAACTGTTATCTATTCTACATATCATCATAATATGCAATTCGTACGTCCATAAAACAACACCATTCAGCATCCCTCCCTCTTGAGTGGCTCTTGTGTCTTGCATTGGAGTCAACCATAGCACAAAAAGATAGTAAATGATTAATTGGTAACCAACTACCCTAGCAAATCATTACTACCGTGTACTCGCTGAATTCCCAACATTTTTGGCCTTTTGCCATACTAAGCTAAAAATATTAAATGCCTGTAAAATAAATCTATACACAATAAGCTGATGATGCTTTTGTAGAAATACACCGTGTATTATACATAAAACTCTTCTAAAATCGGTTCACGGATGGTCCTCTATACGCGTGATGAATAGATGATGCTTGTAAGCAGGTCATTAGAGAAACCTCCAACAGTTTGTAACTGTTATAAAGTCATCCTGAAGACATTAATGTCCAAGCATTAAAAATAGGAATTCAGAAACTAGAAATGGGTTTACCTGAGAAGAATTCTTTAAAGTGAGAAGACGGGAAGCTTAATTGAATTCTTTTCGTTTGATTAATGACTCCAGTATTTTATTCCACCTTGCTAAATTAGACACATATTGCGAACACACATTCCAGGAATTTGTTGATATCTTCGTGCAGTAGGCTAATGAATGGCGCCATAAGTGTCCTGTTTTATCTCAACTACAGAAGAGATTTCAGTCTTCAACGGGCTGTCTTTTACAAAAAAAAAACACTAAGAAAAAGCTCATGCATTTAACAGAGATAAAGCCCTTCGTAAGATGTGAGCTGTGCTTGTGCGAACAATTTTTGTGTTTCTTTAAAGCATGAGCTTATTATTCTTTAAGCATTGGCTTCTTATTTTCAATAATCCAATCAAACCGAAGGCCTAACCACAACTTCAGTTATGAGTTTCTTCATGTGCCACAGTCTTTTATATTTCTATTTCAATACTGAAGATCCTTACTACTACTATTATTATTATTATTATTATTATTATTATTATTATTATTATTATTCCTTTGATTTCTGGTGTGTACACTTTTCGTTCCGGGTCCAGCCCAGAGACCTTACCAATTAAGAAAAATATTTTACATAGATAAAGCCCTTCGTAAGGTGTGGGCTGTACTCGTGAGAACAATTTTTTTTGTATTTCTTTAAGGCATGGGCTTCCAGGAATCCCTTCAATTAGTCTACTGGGATCTTTTCCAAACAAACCGAAGGCTCCAACTACAACAAGGATTGTTGATGTTCCCATGTGCCACATTTTTGAGATTTCGACTTCAAGGTCCTTGTATTTTGATAGCTTTTTGAAGATCTTCAAAGATACATTGCAGTCTGCAGGGACTGCCATATCAATAAGGAGGCACTTTTTGTTTGCGGTCTCTAATAACAATGTCTGGGCGGTTAGCTTTGATTTTCTGTGTGTATTGTGTAGTCCAATAAAATTGTAACAGGACCTATTTCCGTAACCGGGTCTGGGTGGTGTTCATACCAATTATTATTATTATTATTATTTCCTTTGATTTCTGTTGTATACTCGTTTCCAATAATAATAATAAAGAACAAGTAGGAAAACAGATCTTAATCTAACATGTTTCACTTTATTAAAGCTTCGTCTAAGATCAATATAGAAATGATGAAATTGATAAAAAGCAACGAGACGCAGATTAATGGTATGTTTTAGTTGGCTACTTTTATTTTATTTATAGTGTCACGTGTAATGAAGTAACAGATAATATTCAAATATGTGTGGCAAAGTTAGTGTAAAGTGTATAAAAGTTAGTAAGATGCAACAGGATGTTTTGATTGGATACGTGTCACGTGTAATGAAGTCACTGATAATATTCAATTAAGTGTAAGAAAAACATTCTGGATGCTAAAGTGTGTAAAAGTTAGGGAGATGCTACAAGATGTTTTGAAAAATCTTGTTTGGTTATATTTCTCATTATATTTCTCAGTATATCTCGTACGTATTTTGTATTTACATTGATTGTTATGTAATCGGAAAAAATTGTTAGATTCATGAATAATGGATCTGTAGGAAAAATGATGTGATGTAATTTTTAAACGTTTGTTAATATTTCGTATTTCTGCTATAAATATGTTTTCTTCTTTTTTGATAAGGCTGGCATTGGTGAAATTTAAGCTATGTCCTACGTTCTTGCTATGTAAGACGAGAGAATTTGAATGTTTGCCACACATAGTGGAGTAGCCCAATTATATACGGCAGTTGGGGGTAATAAAAAATATTATATACACATAAAAGCGCATATACACAAAGATAACTACATTCAAATACAAATATATATAACTATAATTCAAATATATGCATCTAATATATAGTTTCAAATATAATACAAAAGCACCAATATCAAGACATATCCATATAATATATATATATATATATATATATATATATATATATATATATATATATATATATATATATGTGTGTGTGTGTATAAAAATATAAATATAAATAAATATATATATGTATATTTATTTATATATTATATGCGCGGTACTTATTAGAAAGCGCTCAATATCAGAGATAGAGCTAACATATTTAGTTGGATAGATATGAGTTTGTGACCCTGGGTTTCACGCTTTAGCAATCGTCAGACAAACTAACGTGAAACCCAGGGTCACAAACTCATATCTATCCAACAAAATATATATATATATATATATATATATATATTCACATTTACATAGATATAGAAAAGTGTTCAAAAATTTATTTATAATATCTATCTACATATAAGCATGTTCATATTCGCTAGTGAATCAATACAAAAATGTAACTACAAACAGACATATATATATATATATATATATATATATACATACATACATATATATATATATATATATATATATATTCACATTTACATAGATATAGAAAAGTGTTCAAAAATTTATTAATATCTATCTACATATAAGCATGTTCATATTCGCTAGTGAATCAATACAAAATGTAACTACAACCAGACATATATATATATATATA